TACAGTATGTTCAAGTCACCCATCTTTTCAGGGCCCTTAGCGAAAGGCAGCTCATTTGGTAGCTATTTTACCAGCACTAATCTGCACCTGCATGTGTGCTGACGGAACACCCAACATAATAAATGGAGTTTGATCAGTGCAAACTGCCAACCAGAAAAGATAAACACACACAGTCTTCTTCACTGGAGATGTTTCTCCACTGGATGATGCATTAACATAGTCTTATCTCCTTATTTGACCACTTTTAGCCTCATGACTTATGGGAACTTACTGTCTTTGAGACCTCTACGCTTTTTATCATATCAACCAAATGACTGGACAGGCTCAAAAGTTATAAAGCAATATATGAAGAGAGTATTTGTATTACATCTTTTTTCTTGGGGGGGGGGGGGGAACCCAAAATCAAACAAAAAAAACACTTTGAAAAGCAAGGTTATTTTATCCTAGAAGAGATAAAATAACCCCGTAAAGTCCAGTCTGTAACAGAAAGAAGCTAAATAACTGGTATGTAGTGATAGGACACATGAGAATAGTTCAAAACTGCACCAAGGGTGGTTTAAACAGAACATTAGGAAGCATTTCTTTACTGAGAGGGCTGTCAAACACTGGAACAGGCTTCCTAGCGAGGCGGTCAGTGCCCCAAGCCTGTCAGTGTTTAAGAGGCATTTGGACAATGGCCTTAGTAACACGCTTTAACTTTTGGTCAGCCCCAGGGTGGTCAGGCACTTGCACTGGATGGTCATTGTAGGTCCCTTCCAACTGCACTATTCTGTTCTGTTCTGTTCTATTCTAATTAACACAGCTACATCTGCAGCTACAGTCAGAGAAGGAAACAAGGGAACCACACCGTCTTCCATGCTCTCAGTACAGCCCAAACAAACATCCCAGCTCTATACAGTGCCCCAAAAGGGAGTTCTGCCTCAACGACTCTAACCATTAAGTGCACACAAGGAACAGGGTGTACATACGGGCAAGCTTTCTAACAGCAGCCATTTTCCACATGGTTGGTCTTTGAGAAATTTACGTCATGGCTGAAGGTGGAGAACTACATATGGTCATATATTATTGTCACTTCCTAAGTTAAAACACATTTCAAAATAACCTTTTGAAACTTGCTTTCTTTACATTAAGAACTGAATAATGATGGTTGTGCTTCTGCTACAGCAGCTACATGCCCTCTCCCATACATCTGAAAGAGTAACACATACATCTCACAAGAGTGCTGAGTTTCATTTTTAGTCACTCCTTTGTTGATTGCCCGTGTCTTTGGAACTGCTTAACACCCAATGTCAATGTTCCCATCTGTTGCTCACACAGAAATTTTAAGGATTAGTTATAAGGATTCTGAGCTCACATGTCCATTTCAAACGTATATTGTCTAGTTACCCAAAAAAACAGTACAGGAAAATAACAAGTATATACTTTTAAACAGCTAGACTAGTATCTTCCGGAGGTACGCTAGCTCAATATCCGTGTTCCTCCCTCCCGCCTTAGATGCAGAGTAGATCTCCACTCAGCGCCGCACGTCTTGGTCAATATTGCCACCTACAGCAAACCACACCCCACAGTGACTTTGTAGTAACTACACCGCTTATGTAAATTCTGACAGAAAACTGTAAAAGCAAGACAGGTGAAATAAAAAGGCATCCATTATCACGTAGTTTTTCCCTCAAAAAAAGCTTTTTTTTTAATTGATAGCAATGAGATCAACAGTTGCAGTATTTCTGTATTTTTACAGCAGCCTTGTCTCCACTCCCAGTCCCACAATGGCTTCTAAACATCTTCCCGGTTCCCAGGAACTGAGGCGCTGAAGGAGACAGGGGAAGGGTGCTGAAGAAGTGGGAAAGACCTGCAGAAGAACCTGACTTAGTATCTTGACCCACTTGGTTTTAATCTTCTATCATGGCTTAACCCCATCCGGCAACTCAGCCCCACCCAGCCGCTCGCTCATGCTCCCCCCGTGGGATGGGGGAGAGAATGCGAAGGGTATCAGTGAGAAAACTCACAGGCTGAGATAAAGTTTAATAGGTAAATGTGCAAGCAAAGCAAAACAAGGAATTCATTCACCAATTCCCATCGGCAGGCAGGTGTTCAGTCATCTCCAGGAAAGCAGGGCTCCATCACGCATGATGGTTACTTGGGAAGACAAACACCATCATTCTGAACATCTCCTTCTTCCTCCTTCTTCCCCCAGCTTTTATTGCTGAGTATGACACCATATGGTATGGAATATCCCTTTGGTCAGTTGGGGTCAGCTGTCCCAGCTGTGTCCCCTCCCACCTTCTTGTGCACTCCCAGCCTGCTCGCTGGTGGGGTGGGCTGAGAGGCAGAAAAGGCCTTGACTCTGTGCAAGCCCTGCTCGGCAAGAACTAAATCACCCCTGTGTTACCAACACTGTCTTCAGCACAAATCCAAAACACAGCCCATACCAGTTACTACGAAGGAAACTAACTCTTATCTTAGCCAAAACCAGCACGTCCTCTAACAAGCCCAGTTTATTAAAAAACAGGAAATACAGAAATGACAGTCAGCTTTATAAGCTTCACCCTGGCAGGAAAGGGGGAGTTGTGTTTAACTTTGTGATGCCTCATTTAAGAACAAATATTGCTTACATAATATACTTACTCTAAAGCCAGACAGAAATAAAAAATAGCAGAATGATGCACTCATTTAGAGTTGGGGGTGATAAGCAGCCAGGGGTTGGGGGAACCAGCCTTCAACACCCTAATTGTAGTAATCATCTGACTTCCTAGCACTGCAGAATTTGCTAAAAAAAAAAGAGTCAGCTTTACGCAAAATACCTATAGAGCTTTCTTTGTTAATTTAATTAAATCACAGTTTTTTATATTTGAGTTCAGTATTACTCTTTACAGAAACCTTTCTCAGTTTGTTTTTTTTTTTGTAAGATCCTTACACTTTAAAATAGCTTTACTATTTTGTGTTCTTTGATTGGGAAATTTTGGTAAGCAATGCCACTAAGATTCTTTTTCAACATACATACCATAGCACAGACAAGTTCTTAAGACATTCAGTTTCTGGCCACTATAAACAAACATCCTGTAAGACTTAACCTCCACATTTGTCAGCTGTCTGTATAATACTTAGGTATAATATGGTCATGACTTAGCTGGAGTCATTCCCCTCCACTTAACACATGGGGCTGCGTTATCTTGCACCAATCAAACTTCACAGAGCTCTCATAAATAAAGTTTCAGAAGAGTTACTCAGCACTCAGGAAAAGCCAAAAATAACCTGAGCACCACAATACATGGGCAGTTACGGTCTTTTGTATCACAAGTGTATTTTCCACTCTTGCTTACATACCTCACTTGGTATTTTTCCCCATGTGGCAACTAACCTGTAGCACTTCCCTAACTCTATAGATTGGACGTAACTAACAACCTCTGACCATGTCCAGTTGTTTTCTGTAACAAACTTTTCAGATAGCAGCTATAACCCTGTGACATTCCATCAACTCAGAGATACCACTTAACTAACTTCTCAAAATCAAGGTGTGTTTTCAAGGCCAGACACTCCAAAGGTAGTTTGTGTAAACTGTTACATCAGCAGAAAAAAAAAGGGAAGTCGTTTGCATACGACCATGGTCAATTACAGATTTCTTCTAAGACATTCTATTTTAGAGAGCCTACATACTGCTTCTCTCGCACTGGTATAAGGCTTGGCCTGAGGAACTTCGCCATGGCAGCTTTTGGATTTGGTACAACTGCAGCGAGAGTAAGAACGCATACTCCTCCTTCATTAACACTGCAACACAAGAACCACACCTACTGACTCTGAACTATTCACACGTCAGGGGCTCTACGCAGTTGCACTAATCGGTACCTAGCGGCACTGACTTCAAGGGGCACTGGTAACTCACCCTCTATTTGAAAAAGATGCAGTTGAGTGGAACAAAAAAGATAAGAAAACTCAAACTACAAGCACAAGTAACTTGAGCAGGGATATCATCACGAACTTTACCAAGTTCCATTACTTTAGAATAGTCATTAAGTGTCCAGATGTATTTTGAATGCTGTTTATATTTCAAGTAGGAAAAATGTGATGCCATAGAATAGCACACCTGATAGACAAACAAGACAAATCCTAGAAGAGAATATTGCCACATGAAAAATGTATCAAAAATAATCTGGTACCTTGCTTCAAGTAGTCATCTGCAAAAGCATTCAACTGACTTTGTTTTCATAGAGTACGGATTAAAGAACTCATGCAGGATTTTTGTTTTTAAACTCAAAACAGGTACTGCTGCTTCTTTTTCAGTCTCCTTATACTAAACTATCCCTCATTTAACTTGCACAGTACATTTCTGAACTACTTTGAAGGAGCCTTGCTACTGGACAGCTGTTCTGACCAACTCATCTTCTTCAGGTAATTTTCTGTCCCTGTCTGTGGACTACATTAAAAAGAAATATTTTAAGTTACCAAGATATTGCAAGCCTCAGATGTCTGAAACAGTATTTGACAGACAGAAAATAAAGCTACATTTTCTAAGCTCTCAAACAATAACCCAAAATAGGATAATACAGTATCCCATATTATACAAGATACAAAAGGGAGCTATTTTAAAATGTACGATATCATCTTTACAATGTATGTCAATGACTTCTTTACAACAGGCTGAGGAGGAAAAATCAACACTTTTGGAAAAAGTATTCTATAAAAGCACATTTTTAAAAATTAACATGTCACCTTTATTAGTACACTTGACAGTTGTGAAAGATTATTTGCAGGGGAAGTTTACAGAGTCGTAACTTCATTGATTTACATTTTTCTATTAGTGACAAGACAATCACTTCACTAGCATAGATAAATGGTTTACTAAGGCAACCAGTTTTCAGATAGCTAGTCTGCATAAGAATATTTATTTTTTTATTTATCAAAAGCTGCATATTTCTTCTGGAAAGAATAATTCTCCCACCCACCCCATCTGCTTATGTTCTTTCACTTTTAAAAGTGGATGCCAGCTTCTGACTTGCAGGTTGTGTGTGAAGACAGATTTATTGTTACACAGATGGGAGGCAGCTACATGCATTCCAGTTCCAAGAAAAGCAGGCAGTTCTATTCAGCTTCACCTGTTTATTTCTTGCATGTATCTTTCACTTCAAAGTTGCAGCAAGTAATGTGTTCATCCACCTTTGTTGTAAGTACAACTATATGATGTAACAATTATTCCAGATGTGAGCTCATTTCTTTTTCTTCCCTTTACCTTTCTTGCCTCCCTCTCCTTGCTGAAGACTTTGATCACTACCTCCCATCTTTTGGGTTCTTGTTTTCAGTTTGGGAATGGTTTCTGCAGCATACAGCATCACTGATTTACCTAAAAATAAAGGCAGAGATCAATGCATGCCTACTATGTTAAGAACACCTGCATCATTTTCAAAGTTCAGCCCCACTTTAGATTTCTGTTAAACTAGTTACAAAGCCCAGGAGTTCTGCTTCCTTCCCCTCAATAGCTAGAAGTTTGTGAAAAACTCTTCTCAACCTTTTTTTTTTTTTTTTAATTTAAAAAAGTGCAGGACTGATAAATGTCACAGCAGACTGGAACAGGCACATAACCCGACAAACTCCAAAGTATCTACATTCTTCCTGTTACTCAATTCACCTCTTAATGGCCTAAAATATTTGGGACAGAATAACCAGGCAAAAGCTACAAGCATTTTTATAAAGACACTGCCGCCTTCCACCAGAAATATGGTTTTAAATTGTCTCCTGAACAATCACGTTCTTATGCTACTCTAGATCCAATATTTTCCTTGTTCTTTGCTTATGACATATACTTATTCAGATATGTATTTGCTTCCCTTTTACACACTAATTAATTTTCAGGAAAAATGCAAAAGACTAAATTACTTGTGATTCAAGATGAACTATTCCTGTTAATTCGTTAAAGACTGCCGCTCCATTGTTAATTTATGAAAATGGCCATCAGAAAACTAAACTGAACTCAGTATCGTATTTTATCAATTTAGCACTCATCCTGATGCCTTGCTGATGTATGTAACCCAAGAAAAACATGGATTTTAACCATTTTAATACCAAATCCTCTGTCAACAAAACAGTAAGCCAAAACTGAAGAGCCACTTTGTTCAACATAGCAATCACACAAGACTACCCACAATCCCCTCCAATGCAATCGCTGAAGAAACAGCAGGATCAAAGACAACAGCATTTTACGAACTCCACTCAATGCTAACACACCAACTTGATTTGCTTGACTTATACAGGCAAAGAGACTTAATGTAATGCCATAACATTTGTAATAATAAAACTAATTAAAGAAGCTGGTAACGTAACAAAATAAATGAAGTATTTCTGTTTTATTAACAGACAAAGCACCTAACCCAGGTACTCTACTCACGTGTTGGAAACTGAGGTAAACATGGGTTACCATCATCTTGTTTGAGCTGGATTCGTACTCTACCTCTGTACTGCACATCTCTGTTCCACTCTCTAGGATACATCTTATTTTTCTGTCATACAAAAGGAGACACTTATTATTATATAGTAAGTATTTATATAATATTAATTATGTAATAACTAATAAACAATTAGATAATATTAATAATAACTTATAGCAAGTACTGGAATAATTTTCTGCCAAATTAGTCAGGCAATTGATCTAAGTCATAGCAGCCTGGAATTACAAACAGATGTAAACCATAACTGTAGCTCTCCAACAGTATCATTCACCATTTAGCCATTGCAGTAGTACCCAAAGCTATTGCCTAACTTTTTAAGCAGCACTGCTGCAACCAGCTATTGGTAATAAACAATTTAGCCAGTAACCTGCTACAGGGACTGTTCTACTTCCCTACCAGTCTGGACTGCAGTGACACAGGTTTTTGTTTCATCTCCACAGCCACAAACCCTTCTGGATACCTAGAGACAGTACGTCATAGGTCACAATCTGAGGCCCACTGCTTTTGGATACTCATTGCCTTCATTTTTGTTGAAGTACTACAGGTTTCTTACTGGTACTGGCTATTTCACAGGCTAGTGTGAACTAAGAGGAATATATTTGACTTTTTCTGAAAAGCAAAGTGATTTTGTACTGGTTTTTGGATACCAGTCACATTCTTAGATGAGGACCTAAATTATTCTTAGAAAATTCAACAGTATTTTAAATTAATAATTACTTCAGAAAATGAATTGCAAAAAGCTACCTCTCTAGAAACCCAG